AGACAAACAGAAAAAATGAGTCAGATATGCAGGTGTAAGCCTATATATTTTTTTGAAGCAACACTTAAAAGTGGGCTAGAGAAAATATTTAGAATGGATCTGAAAATATGTTTTCAGTTTTGCAATGTTGGTGTTTGATTTTTCTCTATGGCTTATCCTATCTGGTAAATGTTTGCTTTTTTTTTTTCATCAGGTATCTGAATAAATAGCCTCAAGATGAACTTCTTCCTGGAAACATTAAGGGTCATCGCACTACTACTGTATTACTTACTGGAGTCACTAGTGTTCTTGGTTGTGCCTAGACCAAAGAAGAATGTTAGTGGTGAAATAGTATTAATAACAGGAGCAGCAAGTGGCATTGGAAGATGCTTATCAATAAAGTTTGCCAGACTTGGAGCCACGTTGGTTCTATGGGATATTAATCAAGAGGGGCTCAAGGAGACGGTCAGACTGGCCAGAGAAAATGGAGCAGCAAGAGTACACTGTTACATCTGTGACTGTAGTAAGAGGCAGGATGTCTACAATGTAGCTGATCAGGTAAAGTATCTTATTTGTGGCTTTGACACTGTCCTAAGATGAGTGTATGCACGTGTGTAAGATGCATGATTAAGTTTTTTTTAGTGGCTTCAAAGTAAGAAATTACAGTTAATTAATTCTGAATGTATTGTGCATTATCTAGTTCAAGAATTCTGGAGTTTAGAGTTGACTTGTGTATCTTTATTCCTTAAAAAGTAAAAAGAGCTGGTTCTCTTTTTCGGTAGCTCATTTCAGCTGAGTAGCTTCTCAATCATTCATTTGATTACTGAGCAGGCACTTACTCAAGAAGTGCAGAAAATCAATTTATCAAAGCTAGAGCTGTATTTTAAGTTTTAGCAGCCTTTTACCAAAAGTAAACCCTAAAAACCTACAAAAAGGATTAACTGCGTAGACTATTTCAAATAATTCCATGGCTGTGAATAGATTTTTGCAAACTCACTTTTTTTCTGAATTAATAAATATATCTTAAGGTCTTAAATATTTTTTCTTTCATTTCTAAAGAGCTTTGTAAACATAACATGTAGTTAGATATTTTAGGCAGAATAGTAGAATTGCCAAAAGCTAAAATTGCCTAACAGTTTCCAGTATAACAACATGTTCTCATTTGGTTAAAATTTGCTAAGCTTAACTGTTGGACTAAGAAGTTTCCACAGTGAGTGTTTGCCTGGGGATAAATTCTTTAAAAAAAAAAAAAAAAAAGTTCTGCTGTCTTCAGGAACATCCACTGGCTGAAGGCTGAACTAAGGTTTTGGTGCTCTTTAAGAAGCTCTAGCCTTCTTCCTTTTTCTATCTGTGCAAAAATGATTACAACAAGCTTTCTGATAAGTGAAGCTTATGCATAACTTGTGGCTTGTTAGAGGCTGGTGCTGTTGGTTTTGTATTGCAGTAATTCTGATCATCCTTGGTCTCCCTCACAGCTCCTTTACACCAGCTGAGCTGGACATCTGCTGTCCCTGCAGAGTAGCTGCACGTGTCTCTCTGCAGGCCTGTAGCTGTCCTTCCTGCTGAACTGGGAGGACTGGAGGAGGAGGGAGTACTGTAGAGTGAAGGACACTGGAATGAAGAAAATGAAAACTAACCTTCAG